AGCAGTTCCAAAGTCCAAGGCTCGTGGCCACGAAAAGGTGAGAGACCAGGTCAAACATCTCACCGCCTTTCAGGAATTATCGCCGCACGCACTCGAGTACTGACAGAAGGCCGCATGTCTCCCCGGGTGCCCTCGCTGTCTCACTCTCTGCTTCTGCTCCTTCATCGCCCCCAAGGGGGCCAAGCTTCAAACCCACATCACTTCGACCTACTTAATCCCTTGTTGCATCCCTTTGGTTGCATCCAGGCCTCTTCGCACACTGCCGGGTAAGAACACATCTAACTAACCCGTGAAGCTGCGCATCTCCAAACCCTAAAACCGGTTTTTGCAACCAGGTCTCTTGCAGCCAGCCGCCCTAAACCCTAAACCCTAAACCTAAACCCTAAACCCTGAAAAAGTGCTTGCTCAAGGGCACACAGCGGGCGCCCGACTCCCACACAATTCGCACTCAAGCATCTTCCTCTCAAGCTCCTCTACTTGCTTTCTTTTTTTCTCTGTCCGTCTGTCGCTCTTTCTCTGTGTGTGTCTTTCCTTCTCTTCTTTCTTTGTTTCTTTATTGTGTTGTTTCTTAATTTCTCTATTTCTTTCTGATTCTCCTCATTTTCTTGCATTTCAGCGTTTCTTTCTTCTTCTTCTTCCGGTCTTCGTTGCCTGTCTTTCTTAATGGGAGGGAGGTCCCCTACTCCGTGCTGCACGTGCCGTTTTTTTGTTCAGGATTTGGGGCAGGGTTTAGGGTTTAGGCTTCAGGAAGGTAGCGGGAGCACATAGAAAGCAGGGCCCCATGAAATCTCTGCAAACGAGCCGGTACTCTCGAAGGCCTTCGACATTGGAGAGCTTGATGGCGTTGTCAGAAACATCCTTCAGATCCTTTTCTATCCGCTCCTGCTCGGGACGTTCAGGCAGCACACTGCACCCAAGACGCCCTGTTGGGCACGCGGAGCTTTCATGATTCTTTCAGGCGCGATAAGAACGTAACCCTTCAGACGTTGGAAACTCGCATTCCAGCTGACACTACTCACGGTCCATGTACCGCACATAGAGGGCAGTAGTCACATGGAGCAGGAAGCTCTGCAGGGCGAAGCAGAAGAAGAACAGGGCCATTGGATAGATGACATACTTTGCCTCAGTCGTGCTGCACTCGAGCCGATGCAGAGTTGCGATTGGACTCCCTTTCTTTGCATGTGTCCAAAAAATTGTGAGATTATATGGGTAGTTGTCAAAGTTAGGGTCCCTTTTTGGACACCCTAAAATAGTACATTAGGGACCCCAAAAGGGACGATAATTTTGACAACCACCCATATGGGATTGGCACATGTTGACCCTTGGCAAGCCTCCTTGCATGCCGCGAGTTGCCAAGGCACCTTGATGTAACCGTCGGTCTTCAACGGCTTCACTGGCTTTCTTGCACTTGATGAGGAAGCTGCTTGCGATTCTTCCTCCTGTAGCAGGTGGGATGCTCATGTCCGAAAATTGGCCTCCCAGTGTGTGGCTCATCCCTTCCGCGCAGCCCCGGCTGCACATGCAATGACCCTTTTGGAGCAACGGACTCTGATGACCCCTTTTGTTGCAGCAGGCTTTGAGGACCATAAGCTCTATAAGCAACCCTAAACCCTAAACCCTAAACCCTAAACCCTTCTTGTTCAACCCTAAAACCACAAACCCTATTGACCCTGTTTCCAGAGCAGCAGGCAGCCTGAGCTGACCTCCGGACTGGTGGCTTACCGTCGAGCTCCTTGGGCCAGGGGGCTTTTAAGGCATTTGCTGCACCCTAAACCCTAAACCCTAAACCTCTGCTTCGCGTGGCATGTGTGTGGGCCTCCGTGGAAACCAGCCGAGGGTAGGCAGCGCATCTCCTCACCTCGGCTGAGTTCAGCTTACGGTTCTGAGTTGCGTGGCAGCAGCCCTAAACCCTAAACCCCATAAACCCCAAAAACCCCAAAAACCCCATAAACCCCATAAACCCTATAAACCCCATAAACCACTATAAACCACTATAAACCCTATAAACCCTTTTGGTGACGACATCGGCTGCACACTTCGGCCCCCGACTACCGCCAAGTCGATGGCGGAGAGCTCACCTCAGGTGTGGGCGCGCTTGAATACATCTGGGGCCCAGGATTCATCCCCTCCCCCTAATGCTAAACCCACTCCCAATATTAAAGAACCCCCCCCCCCTAATATCTACAATATAGCTATCAGAAGAGTTGCACAGTATTGGGGTAGGAGGGGGAGGGGGGGGTTAACATTAGGAGGGAGGGGAACTCTAAACCCTAAAGCCTAAACCCTTTTTTGACCCAGGACTGCAAACCCTAAACCCCGAAACCCTAAACCCTAAATCCTAAAACCCAAAGTCTCCTTAGCCAGGTGGCCATAGATGCTGGCCATGGTCATTAACCGAAAGGCTTTGTCCCTCTTCTCGGTGTTTCTCATGAGCTCCTCGAGCTCCTGAAAATGAGGGGTTTTTGTTAGGGTTTAGGGTTTAGGGTTTAGGGTTTAGGGTTTAGGGTTTAGGGCTTTGGGCTTAGGGGTCTTGGGGTTTTGGGGTTCGGGGTGCAGGAATTAGGGGGGATGAGGGTTACTTTTGGAGTTCTTAAGGGTTTCTGCAGCCACCATCTCCAAAGAGGTTTAGGGTTTCGGGCGTTTTGTTCCACTCCTGCAAGGTAGGTGTTTTTTTGCTTCGGGTTTACGGTTTAGGGCACGCCCATCTAAAAGCAGCTGGCGCTGAACCGGCAAAGGAAGCTCCTTGTCTGAATCCTGCCCCATGTGTGCCTGGCACGTGCTCACAAAAGGGCCACTCTGGTAGCTATTCACCGATCAGTTCTGCATTCTCTGAAACTGGCAGCGAGTGGCCGAAAAGCGATCGAGCAGCTTCTCGGCAACCTGTGAGGCGGGTTGCTGTTCCGCTCTGGGGTTTGTTTAGGGTTTAGGTTTTAGGGTTTGGGGGAGAAGGTATCTAACTACCAGTTGAGGTCGCACATGCTCGCACATCCTGCCTTCTGGTCGACATTCTTGAATGGTAGATCCTAATTGAGCACCAGAAAAAGACCATGCGCTAATTCCTTCTTGACCCTGGACCTGGTCCCACACCCAAAGGACCAAGGGCCAGATGCTGCAAAACGAACTGCAGCTCAGCGTCTTTCTGCGTAGGCGTCTTCCCCGCATCCTTTTGTTCCATCACTTGGCTCATTGCCTCCCATATCGTCTCGCACGCCTTGTCCACCCTTTCCTCCACACTCTTCTGCTTGTTGCCTTGCAGCCATCAGGGAACGAAGCGGGGGCCAAGGCAAGAGTACAGGACCAGAAGGAGCCCTAAACCCTAAACCCTAAACCCAGTTCAAGTAAGATGAAGGTAGTCGGCCTTCTTCCAGTTCACCCGCATCTCTGTCCTTGTTTCCTTCACAAGACACAGGCCAGACGCTGGAATGGCTCAGACCGAAAATAGGTGCCTGAATTAGAATAAGGTTTGGGTGGAGCTTTTATAGTTTTATTGCAAAGGGAATATTATAATTACTACAAATATTCATATTATTTCTACGATTATCATTATTACTATTACTATGACTCTTATTCTTACTATTCGAAATTCGAATTTTTCCGACCCCTGTATTACTTTCACACGCCGGCCTGCCGCCAGACTTTTCAGCGGACACACCGGGTACCGGGCTATTGCCCATCGTGCCTGCCAAGAATACTGTTCATTGCTTCAAGGTGTCAGATTTGTTCAGCCCCTAAACCCCAAACCCTAAACCATAAGCCTCTCTTCTGTAGATGGCTTGTAACAGCTTTTGGGTGGTTGTTGCAGGCGCAGCTCCGGAAATAATCTTGCTGCAGATGCCCCAACCTACAACCTAGATTTCCAGCTTCCCGTTGTGGGCAGGCGCTGCCACGGAAACTCTAAACCCTAAACCCTAAACCTTATGTACAGGAAGCCTTCCCTTGCATCTTGCCTGCATCCCATAGGGGTCCGCCTTGTCTGGTCTGAGAGGTCTGTTGCCTTGGCTAGGGCATGCACTTGGTGCACATCGTCGTACTCTAAACCCCAAACCCTTTTGTCTAAACCCTTTTGAGCACGGGCTTGGGATGTGTGCCGGCAAACCCGAAACCCTAAACCCTAAACCCGAAACCTTAAACCCAAGTGGCTCTCATGGACTCGATGGATCGGCTTCTCGGTGTCATCCCACTCCGTCGTCTTCCGCTTCTCGGGCGAGGGCGGACGGCGATCATCAAGAGCCATGTCCTGAACCGTAGTGAAAACGAGAATTTTGGCATAGAAAGTGTTTTAGAACGACTTCTATGATACACACCTATATTTATATTTATATCTATATTTAAATTTATATTTAGATTCATATTTGTATTATCTATTTATGAGAATATACATGTAGTATATAACTATAGATGCTTATGAAGTTATGTATTATATAATGTGACTCGCTGTACAGTAAAGGTTGTCCTGAAATGTGAGGCGCGGCATAAGCTTTTCCTGTGTCTAGAGTCTAGAGTGTTGGCCATCAGGCTGGCAGTTATCAGACTACTGGCTCGAAGTTCAGGAATGCGGCAGCTAAGCCAACTTTTTCAACCCAGGCTCCTCTGCAGCTGAGCCTACCCAAAACCTAAACCCTAAACCCAAATCCTAACCAGCTCCCACCCTCATCAAGTCTCTCTCTGCCACCGTCCCATGCCGAGTTGCTCGTGACAAGGATCTTCTGGGGGACAAGCCCGGATGCAGACGCATCTGAGCTCGTCTAAGCTTGGAGTATGGAACCACGTGGCAGCGGACCGCGCTGATGTGCACAGATCTCATGGATTTCATGACTTAGGGACTTAGGGCCTAGGGTTTATGGTTTAGGGTCGGGCAAGATTATGGGTGTGCCTCCTGCATCAGCGACTGCTACAGGGTGATGCTTCATGGCAGTGCGCGCAGGATTGCACGAAAAGCATCTCTGGGAGTCTGGTATGCTAGATACTGCAAATGGAGCTTCAGCTACGCGCGGGATGTCCTCCAGCTTCTCCTTTGCTGCACAAGCACTTTTCCGATACTTCGTGTGCCTTTTTTTCTGTTGGCTAGTAGGGAAGAGGGAATGAGGTACCCTATTTTCCCCTAGATATACCCTTTAAGGGATTATATAGGCATTCCCTACTAACCAACAGTAAGTTTCTAGTTCCTGAAAGCACTCGCCGTCTCCCACACTGCACATTCACTGCGGCAAAGGCTCTCCACGCACAAAGACCAGACCCGAGCGCCGGGGGGGGCGCGTGGGCCTTACAGTCATCTGTACAGGGTTTAGGGTTTTTCTTAGGGTTTAGGGTTTAGGGTTTAGGGTTTAGGGTTTAGGGTTTAGGGTTTAGGGATGCAAGAATCGAGAGCAAGCTCGTAACCTGGGCAAGCTGCTGATCTGACCTTTCCCCCTCGAAGGCCAATCTTTCAAGATCAAACTCAGACATGGTGGTTTACGACATCTAAAAAACCCCCTTAATAGTAGGATCCCCTCATAATAAGGACCCCAAGAAGGTACCCCTAATATCGAAAACCCCCACATGTTTCTGGCTTCCACAAGGAGCTGCAGAATAAAACTGCTGGAGGTGCCTGTGGACATCAGGTGCTGGAACAACCTCATGGAAGCCTTGCCGTCGTCGTCGTCGTCATCTTCGACGCGGTAACCGTAGCGGTCGTGGCAATAGCTGCATCGGCGGTAGGCAGAAATAGCAATAGTAGAAAATCGCACGGCCTCCGCACCCAAATCTTCCTTTCCCACGCGCAGGCACTCAGCCGCGAGGACGCTGAGAAGCCACAACATAAGGCCAACAAGCGCCAAAAGACCCCCAAACCCTAAACCCTAAACCCTTTTTGAACCCTAAACCCTAAACCCTGAACCCTAAACCGTAAACCCTAAATCCAAGCCACTGGTCGGACTCCAAGAGGCCCAGAGCCACGGGGAGCGGATGGCTGAAAAGCCGGCGGCCAGGGGCCAGGAATCGGAAGGATCTCAAACTTCATATCAAAGCTACAATTCCATCAATCTTTTGGGATTCTTCCTCATGAAAAGTGCTGGAGTTCTTGGTCAGAAAGGAAAGGCCAGGAAAGGAACCAGAGGCGTGTGCAAAACAGTCAGCTCGACTCTTCTCAATTGAAAGGCTGAGGCAGCAGCACCACCCGCCAGATCTTGCCTTTCTTCCAAATGATTTGGATGTTCAACCGTTCGACCCATGGAGCAGCGGACTCGAGATCTCAAGAGATTATTCTCAAATACTCACACAGGCCAACGCATGCAGGCGAGGAGAGTTTCAGATTCATTCACACTTGATGTCCATGGTGCTCGGTGCATGACTCACTGTCTTAGGTGCCATTCTTTGAACGTGAACGCGTGCGGGCTCGCAGCACGACTTGCGTCTGGTGCTGCCCAGCTGCGGCGGGGTGTACTGGGAGACGTGTCCGTCCACAACTCGGCTGAGAGGTGCAGGGCCTCATCTGTGCAAGGGGGGGCCTGGTCAGAGGGCTTCGATGGATTTGGGAAAAGACGTGTTTTTTTTCTCCTGGGCTTTGGGGCTCCAAGATAACTCCGGGAGGCAACGCGCACTGATGTTTCTGAACAGTGAGTAGATCAAGACTGAGGTCACTGCGATGAAATGACTGGAGGGCTGCACCTACAGCTCAACAGCACAATCCCTTTTGCATGCCTCAACCCTAGCACATGTGGAGGGCGATCTTGGGGGGGGGAGGGATTCCAGCAACTAAAGGCCCAACTTGGGATGTTCCCCCTTTTTCTAACAGTCCTTAATAGGGGTAATAGAATCCCTTTGAAGGACTGTTAGACCCTAAACCCTAAACCCTAAAGTATAAGGGGGAACATCCCAAGGCCCAATCTTCATTCAGCGGACCCTGCGCTTGATGTCCAGCAGCTCAAGGAGACTGGGGATCTCAGCGCGGTTGGCCTCAGGTCGCCCTTACTGGGGTTGAGGGTTTAGGGTTTAGGCCCTAAACCCTAAACCCTAAACCCTAAACCCTAAACCCTAAACCCAAGTTTAGGGTTTGGGGTTTGGGGTTTAGGGTACTGGGGTCTGGGGTAGACAGGCCTTGCATAGCTCTTCCCGCCCCGGGAAACAAAACATCCAGTCACCCTGTCGTTACTGTTACTATGGCTATATTTCTATCATCGCTAGTAGTACTATCGCTATTGTTCTTACTACATGGGTTGGGATGTGCAGGAACATGGCCTGGACGTCATCATCTTCGTAGCCATCTGGAAGCCATCGTGGCTCCGGCGCAAGAAGGTAGAACTGCACCTAGTGGTCTGCTTTGGCTTTGGGAAGCTCCCTAAACCCTGAACCCTAAACCCCCCCCCCCCCCCCCCCCCCGAAATTGTTGAGATCACTTGGCCCGGAGCCAAATCTTCGACCTTCTGGGCCACACGAGCATCGCCGGCATCTCCCAAGAACCGGATACCTGCGATGCGGCTATAAGCACAAGTCCTCTGATGCTGAGGCAGCATCTCTAAAATGGCGTCTCTTCTTCTCAGCATTCTGAAGCCCGTGGCTGCTGCCCCCGCCTGTACATGCTCTACATGTATCAGTGCGTCTTGCACGCACTTCGAACTGCACAACACAAAGCGAGATCTACCCGCTGCAGTTCATAAAGAAGGTGACCTTTCAGGACAGCTATGCAAAATGATAATGATACTCACATGGGCACGATGCATGATCACCTGACTCAACTGCAGCCTGGGTGTCGCTCATCGGACGAGTCTCGCCCAAACACCATCACAAAACATGTTCAAGTCTAAGCTTGGCTTGAGCCGACACCTTACCCCTGACGTGTTGAGGTGGCGTTTTCAACACAGACTTTGACACTGTAGAACCACATGCCACGACCACTGTTCTACACATCGAAATTAAGCCTCTCTACACCCCTTTTGGGCAACGGACCTTGGAGGCTCTCTACACCCCTAAACCCTAAACCCTAAACCCTAAACCCTAAACCCACACGAAGCAGGGGGTGTCGGTCTTCCTCAGGTCTCCTGGCGGAGCTTCTTCCGTGGCGGAGCCGACTCCACATCCACAACTTCCAGGCTCCACGCCTTGGAGGGAACGGTACAAAAAAACACACATATATAATTATATAATTATATACTTGCATAATTACATAATTTATACATACATATATAAGTGTGTGTGCATGTGTATAACTGTATATATATATACATATGTATGCACGGAACCGCAAAACTCACAGGATTCCACGTGGTGGGGTCTTGAGAAGGCGAGGAAGTTCCAAGTTACATCCAGCACAAATCACCTGCGGCCCGCCCCATGCCAGTGGAGGCGAGCTCGCACGGTTGCAGCCACGATGCTGTTGAAAAGCCGGCCTGCGCCTACGCAAACAGGGCGGCAGGGCTGTTGCCACATAAGTGCTGCTGTGGTGTTGCCCTACTGGCAAAACCTACAAGACATGGCACCAAACTATTCATCAGCCGTCGCCCCGGACAGAGCTTCTACGAACGGCACCAGACCCGAAAACTGGCAACTGCCACCAAGGCTCGTTCTCGGCTGGAAGCGTGGGAGGAGGGTCAAACCTGATTCGGGCTGAAAAGCGGCAGTTGAGTTTGCCGATATTTTGTCCATTGACAAAGCCTTTTTGGGCTAAGGACCCAGGGTCGGGTAGACTTCAGAGAATGTTTCTTGCCAGAGCCTACTTTACTCTGATAACCCAGTCTTGTCAACTTGTCAAGGTGCCCCAGAGCTGCTCTGCTCCTGTCCTCCGCAGCCACTTGGTTGAAAATTCTGCCATGAAGTCGGACCAGCTGTCATGCATCCCTAAACCCTAAACCCTCAACCCTAAACCCTTTTGCTACTGGACTTAAGTCTAGCCAGATTTGCACCTCATATTGACGGAGGCATGGCATGCACTGCACCAACATAGGCATCACCCATCGCTCAGCACACTCATGTCGCCAGAGCCTATACTTGTGACATCCATACCCTAAACCCTCAACCCTAAAACCTAAACCCTAAACTTACCACTTGTCCTCGTCATCCAGCTCCATGGCAGCGACCGTGGGCTGAGCCGCAAGAAGTGGCTCCTAAAAGGGCGAATCTAATAGAGGGGTCTCCGAATATAGGGGTATATTTTGGGGGTTCCAAAAACAAGGCGTCTAGCATTTGGGCGTGTACTAGGGGTACCCCCATTTTGGGAAATAGGTCCCCGACAAACTCCGCAACGACCCCACTCGCTGGTTGATCTGATTGGTGTCAGGTAGTGTTTTGGCGTCCTGGCGCTGCTTCGCTTGCACACCTTCCTGCCCCGACGGCTCAGAATCTCGGCCGCGCATTTGGCCATCCGGAGGGTCCTGTCCCGACGTGCGAGGAGCAGGGGTATAAGGGGCTTGGAAGAGGCTTTGTTGACTCGTTGACGCTACACATTGGCCAGGGCCAAGAGTACGGGGGAGCCTCATAGACATAACGGTTTCCATAGCTCCACCCGCCTCGCGGCAGGTGGCCTGGGCGAAAGTGGGCGCCACATCGCCAGCCAGTGCCTCCTCCAGCAGCTTGGAGGCGCCCGGCAGGCCTTCCTGGAGGACCTTCTCCCACAGCTCGAGCCTTCGGGGAAGCTCAGCAACCTTGCAAAAAAACACCGCACGCACGTAAGAACGCGATAAGGACAGACTGGGTCAGAGGATGCTGGAAAGGGAGCGCATCCCACCTGCGGCCCAGCTCGCCAGAGAGGCCCTTGCCTGCTTCGCCAAGCTGTTGGAGCAAGGCACGGGCTTTCACAGCGCGCTGCTCGGCGGACTTCAAGGAGATCCTCATGCGCCATCAAACGGTCCGCCGGCCATCATGCATGTGGGCATCGTGACACCGACTTGACATTGCTTGGAGTTACTTGCATCCACAGGAGTTCGGTTCAGCTCCTGCTCTTGCAGTCCCCATATGCAGTTTGCAGCCTTTTGCAACCAAGGCGCCTGGACGAATCACTATCCGACTGCGCAGCCGCAGCTTGACACTCCAGCTCAGCACGCTTGGCTGTGGCAGAATCGAGCTTGCCTCGGGTGCTGCGCTCATCTGTCTCTGCCTTTCAGGGCTGTGCTTGCGCCCGCCGAGGAAGCACCTAAGACCTACGATGCCTGAACGAACTGCTAGAAACAAGCAAGTAACAAGCAAGTTGGTGCACAATGATATATTACCGACAATATAGAAACGATGTACTAGGTACTATGTATTGTGTACTATGTATTATCTATTCTGTATTATGTACTATGTCTTATGTATTGCGCATTAGGGAGTACGTATTATATGCCTCGAGACACTTCAACAGCACCCCGGGCCTTCGTGACAGTGGCTTTGCTTGCCGCCACGTCTGCCTCCAGCCTCTCGCGGTTGGCGACGGTGGCCTGTGAGCTGTTAGTCGATGCACTACACTCAGACAATCCAGGAAAGCCTTTAAGAGCTTTGGGCATGTGGGACCCTTTTTCACAAGGGACTCGACTGCTGAACCCTAAAGCCCGGAAAGGCGAAGTTCGAAACTTCAGTGCTGTCGGCCCCGAGGTCCCTTTTTGACCCCTTTTTTTTGAGCACGGATGTCACAACGGAGAGCAGAAACCCTAAACCCAAAGCCCTTTTGTTGAGCAACGGACCTTGAGGCTGCCGGCCCAAAGCCCTTTAGCCCCAACTCTCGAAGCGCCTTCAGTTCTTCCTGTAGCCGCTGGCTCTCCTGGAAGGGAGACATGGCTCAGGCCCCCCAAAGAGCTGTTCTTCCCTTCGAAGCATCTGTAATGTGCACGCGTTTTGCCACCAATCCCGGTGTGGTTTTGTATGATAAGCAGACAGGAAACATGTGAATACTTCCCCCAATAGCTTAATGTCGAACAAGATACTTCAAAAGGGCAGGCTGATGTTCTATCGGGCATGGGGGTTGTGTGGTAGTAGCGGACGTAAAGCCTGAACGTTTGGCGTTCCGACTGTCGCAGAACTTCTCTCCACGCCCGCTGCACGAAGCACCCTTCAACCATCCATGAGGGAACCTTTACCCATTTTGGGATGATGACAATTATAATACAATATGATGTAGGGGGGAGTATAGGAAAAATGTTCTAATGGGTTGGTTAATGGTAGGCTGCTGGTATTATCACCCAAAACTCCCGAAAATAGGGCTACCTTATTGGGGTGCGCATTATAACGGAATCCTACTACTTGGGGGTCGATTTTAGGGTCCCCTATTTTCGTAAACCCTAAACCTAAAACCTGAGCCCTAAACGTCCTCGGCGGCACGCTCTGCCTCGCGCTGGGCCTCACCCTGCGATTGCCGGAGTCGCTCCGCCCGCTCCTGCAAGATTCGTATTGGGGGTTTCCGAAAATAAGGGGTACTGTGACCCTTTTTGGGGGAGGCTTCAATTCTAGTTGGGGTATAAAACTGTTACCCTTTCGGTGGGGACCCTTTAAGGGGATTCCATTCTATTTGGGGTATCCCCCTATTTTGGGCAGTGTTTTTGGTGGGCCACCTGCTTGGCCTCACACACCTGAGCCTGTGACACGGCCAACTGGCATAATCAGGTCGTCCGTTCGTACTATTAATACTATTATTACTATAATTGCTCGTATAGCTGCGTTTTTGGAAGCCATTCCCTGGCACGATGCCCTGCAGGTCCTGCGCCTGCCGCGCTCGGATCTGCAGCTCAGCGAGGTGCTGCGACGACTTCTGCTGCGCCTGCGAGGCACTGGCACAGCGCAAGCCTCAATTCAACGAAGCTCTCAAGCCTCGATGGCAGCAAAGCTTTGCCGAAACATGCGCTCACCTCACCGGCCAGAGCCAAGTCTTCGCGCAGCTGCTGCTGCCGGGCCTCGTGGCATGAGTTCAAGGCCCGAGGAAGCTTGCATGAGCTTGCCATGAACACGCGGCTGAAGATTTGAAGGTGCCAGACTCAAAGGCGCGCACAGCATGATTCACATACGAGTACAACACATGACGATTCACATACATGGCCTTGTCTCACACACACACACACCTATGTAGTTTTTGGGAACCCTCAAGAAGGATGTCCCTACTTACTTTGGCAACTCACCAACCCTAAACCCTAATCCACGGAGCACCTCCAGCTCCTCACATCGCTGGCTACGCTCTGCCAGATCCTTGCGGGCACTTGGGGAGATCAAGGTCGGCAAACATCAGGGTTTAGGGTTTAGGGTTTAGGGTTTCATGATTCCCTAGTGGGCCCGAGACTCGGTGTTTCAGTGCACTCTCGTACCATTCCCTCACCCGCTTCTTCCTCGGTGGAGTCGAAATCCTGGTGGTCTGAGCGAATCGGGTGGCAACGACAATGTAGGGTTGATTTGGGACAGTGGTTGCCTGAGGCATGGCAATGGACCGTTATGCCTCGCCTGTGAACCGGTTGTGCGACATGGGGGATTCGGCTGCGGTTCCATTGTGCATTGTGCATTGTGCATTCATGATCAGTGAATCGGAAGTGTTGCCGTTGAGGGCCAGCTTGGGCACATGTGCCCTAAACCCTAAACCCAAAACCCGAATAAACCCTAAGCCCTAAGCCCTAAGCCCTAAGCCCTAAGCCCTAAGCCCTAAGCCCTAAACCCGGACCTTCATCCTCGGCTTGTCCCCCCTGCAATGCAGCAAGGTGGGTAGCACAAGAAGCCGCCTAAACCCTCAAAAAACCTAAGAGTGGCCTGGGTCGGTACTGGGGGTTAGGGTGCTTGGGGGGGCTTGGATCCCTTCCATTTGAGGAAGGGTTTTCAGTTGGTCCTGTAAGCAACAACCCTAAACCCGAAGCCTTGGCTTCTGCCTTTCGGGTCCTACAAACAGCATCCCAGGCGCCTGATTTCCGGACAAATCGTACAGTTGGGCGCTGAAGTGCGGCGTGCACAGCACCCTCTCTGCATTTGCCCCGTGTAGCTTGGCTAGACGGGCGGCAAAAAACCCTCGACCCTTAACCATTGGGAAAAAACCGACCCCTGTGTTTCTATACCACGACCCACAACTGCCCGCAGAGTGGTCCCAAGGCTTAGAGGGGGCCAGCAGGCGGGCGGCAAAAAAACACTACCCCCCCCCCCCGAACCCGAAGCCCTTGCATAGCGGAGGACCCGCACTGCAGGGCAGGAAGCCGGCAAACTATTTAGGGTTCAGCGGTTTTGGGCATGGGCACGCGCCGAATAGGAAGGCATCCTCCCTGACAACAAGAGCCCGCCGTCCTTCTCAGAGGCTGCGTGACGTCCTCGGAGCTCCTCGTGGGTGATGGTCAGCTCATTCAGCTGCCGGGCCTGTGAACCAAGATTCGTCGGTTTTGGGGTGGTTTCTGGCTTCGTTTCTCAGGGTACCAGCTAACCTGTTCCCCCTTATACTAACAGTCCTTAATAGGGATTACAAAATAAGGGGAACACTAATCCCGATGTATAAGGGGGAACATCCCAAGGTACCAGGTAACGCTCCACACAACCCTAAACCCTAAACCCTAAACCCTAAACCCTAAACCCTAAACCCTAAACCCTAAACCCTAAACCCTAAACCCTAAACTCCTGACTCCATGGAAACCGGCCTCGGCCCTGAGGGCCTCCACCTCGCCCGCCAGCTTCGCCTTGGCCTCCTCTGCCTCCTTCGGCAGCTGTTTCTGCGTGGGCTGCGTGGGTTTAGGGTTTAGGGTTTAGGGTTTAGGGCTTAGCTTTTTTTGCGTGGGGGACTTGAAAAAGGGGATTAGCGATAGGATTGGGGGGGGCCCTTTGGGGGAGATAGACCCTCTGAAGAAGGTCCCTGTTTAAGAGAGCCAGAAGAGGGTTAAGAAGGGTTCCTTTTTCAAGGGCCCCCCTATCCTACCTAGGATTAAGGGTACGTGATTTGAGGTTTCGGCTCCATCTCTGTGAGGCTATGTGCGGGTTTAGGGTTTAGAGTGCCCCCAGATGCTAAGCACCCCTCCTGGCGCCGAACTCGCTCCTCCTCAGCCTTGTGGGGGCTTAGGGCATTTCCGCTTGGACTTCAAAGGTCAGGGACTTTAGAGGAGAACCACTTCATGCGACTTCAACAAGCGCTGGGCCTGCTGGCGGACTTTGCGCAGCTCTCGGTTCAGACTTTCCACCTGTGCGCACGAGACACAGGCACCAGGGCACTGGAGAAAGGCGCCAATGAAAGTGAAGGTCAGGCAAGCCACGCTCTGCCGTTCTTCATCCAGCTTGCGCTGGGAGACTAGCAGGTCGGCGGTGAGTTTCGCTTTGCTCTGCTGCTCCTGGTCACATGCTGCTTGGCGTGACGATTCGCAACAAGACATCCCCACACAAGAAGCGCTCAAGCCCCGCCTGCACCAGCAAATCCTGTGCAAAGCAGTTCTGCCCCGGTGCCGGATCTGCCGTTCGCTTCGGATCCGGAGCTGTTGGCGGGACGTCACCTGGGTGTCAACTTCGGGCTGGCATGGACTGGCGTCAGGGACATACTGCATCATGCTGCAGCCTGGAAGCCCGGGTCCTCCTTGGGCTCTTCATGGAGCACTAGCTTGTACTGGACGCGAGGCCCTGGTTCGACCCCCTCCTTGGGCTCGACCTCGGCACCGGCAAAATTCGAGAGTCAGGATGAGTCGCAAGTGAGGAAACGACGAGGGGTGCATCCAGGCGGCTGCATCCAGGGGCTTGGTAAGGGAGAGCACATCTCCGTCCGCCAGGGAACACCTCTGGCCTTTCTGCAGCTTCCTGTCGTTTACGAAGCTGCCGTTCGTACTGCAGTCCTCGTAGTCATGCACACTCGACTCTGCAGCCGCTGCGAGCCGAATACAGAAGCCAAAAAACACCGCCGCTTCCCACGCCTCGAACTCGGGGGGGCAGCCAGCGCTGCAATGCAGAATGCAGTGTGTCCCGCTGACCTGCTCACTCAGGCAACTAGCTAGGACAAACTGAGCAGGTACTCAAGCACAACTTTCCCACCAAGTTGCCGCAATGTGAGGGCACACGAGGAAGTTGTTCGGCCGTCGCCTCCAAGCATCAGCCAGGCAGGCATGACTGCTACTGTTGATTCTCCATGTTTTTTGTTGGTCGCTGCCCCGCCCAATCGTGGCATCTCCGTCACAGGGCAGAGGCACAACATCCTCATCTGGAGCATGCAGCGGAAGCAGCTGCCACACCATGGCTGTCTGGAAAGTTGACCACGGTGTTATTGACAAATGGCACTAAGCAAGTACACGACTGCAACGTACCAAGGTGGGTTAGGCGTATCAAATGCTAGGGCCCAGCCCCGCCAGAGCCTTCTGAACGGACATTGCAACATGCATCGGAGCATGACACAGCACCACACACTCAGGTCCGAGTCTGCAAACCTGGTGAAAGCATGGAAGGGCACCAATATGCTCGAAAAGCCAAGATGTGTACAGGGCACCAGCCTTGCAAGGTATCGCAATTCCGGCAGAATGACTCGATTCTGGGCTAGATATGGCCGATCGCACAGTTAGTAAGCGCAACGCGTGATATGTTCGCAGCTGCCGAAGGCCCTGTCAGCTTCTTCTGGCTGATGTCACGCAACAACGGCTGCAAGAAGGTGCTGTCACCATCACAACAGCAATGCAGGAAGTGGACACAGCGCTCGCTGGCCAACAGCTGTCAGCCTGGACATAGCCTTCGGAGCTGTTGGATGAGCAGAGGAACTCTGCCAAGGGCCGCAGGGTTTCATTGACGAAGAAGTTCTGCCAAGCGCTGCGATTCGTACTCATGCAGCACGCCCCACGGCGGAGACCAAAGCTTGCACGATTTGTCCAAACAAGCCGTGGAGTTACGCCTTCTTCACACACTAGCCGAACCTAAACCCAAAACCCCAAACCCTAAACCCCCCTTCCATGTCCCAAGCCAAAGTGCCTCGAGCTCCTTCCAAGCATGCGACCCTGATGCGTATGGCCGAAGCGCGGTCATGACCTGGTCTGTACTTGGAGGTTCGGGGTACTTGGTTTCGGGGTTTAGGCCTTAGGGTTTAGTAACCCAAGTATAGGTGTGGTTACAACCCACTGATAAGCCCTTAAGTCCCCTAATGGGGTTATAATTAGGTGATAAGTACAGTTACACATGGGTTACTGAATACCACGAACCTCCAAGTAGTTTCAACGAGGGATGTATTCGTGCCTCTTTTTATATCTGGTAGCAAATTTATGAAACCATTTTTTCTTTGTTACTTATGTTTATATTTCAACTTAATTTATACATATACATATACATATATAAGTATATACATATGTATATATATATAAACACGCAAGCCATCTCAAACTTGCCATCCCACGTGGTCTCTCGTGGCAGTGTGCCGCTCGGTGCTCTCTGTGCTCCCGACAGAGACCAGCTCCTCTCCAGCTGCCTTGCATCTTGAACTTGCGGATTTTTCGGGTTTAGGGTCATTTTGTACTCATGACCTAATGATAACCCTATTCGGGGACTTAAGGGGCTTATACGTGGGTTAGAACTGGTAGATTTTTAAGGGGGTTTCGACCCGACTCTCACAGTGGCATGCGCGGGCGAAGGCAACTTCTCCATTTTGCAGCTTTAGCCTCTCGGTCTGGCTTACTTCCCTCCAGCGCAGCTGCCCTTGGGGGATGTAAGATCCCGAGTTCTCGAGATCCAAAACCATGTCACGCACTTTGCTTTCCCACTGTTCCTTCCTGTCCCTGCCACTTTTGCTCCATGGCTCTTGAGCTTCTCTTTCAGGCCGTCTTTCCACTCTTTGAGTGGTTGTGAATTCGATCATTGAGGTCCTTTGGCCAGAGGCTGGATTGCGATGACCGGATTCTTGCTCTTGTTGATCATCTTTTGCAAGAACGGCAGGACCTTGAACAACTCCTCCTCGGGCGTGTCGGCTTCTTCAACCCACATGTTCAAGTCGCCGTCACGCGTGCGATCATCTTGCACTGCTTGACGGCATCCGCGCTGGCCATCACAACATCAACTTCGCTCTCCATGCAGTAGGGCAATGCCTTCGGCGCCACTCATCCAGGTGGTTCAGCTCCACATTTTTTGAAACCATGATCTGCGAACCAGTCATCTATCTGCTGCTTGAGGTCATCATCGTAGGCACTGTTCACGGCCGTGATCCTCATCACCACGATGGGCCTCTTTGCTTCATGAAGTCGATGAACTGGCGCACATCGAGTTTGATTCAGCAGGGCGTCGAGCGTTTCATCGTCTCAGTCTGAGCCGGTCTTCCGCAAGAGCTCCCTCAGCCCCTCAGCTCGTCCTTGCTCAGCTGGCCATCCTTGTCTTCGTCTGCATTCTCGAAAATATTGTTCACCCGCTCGGCACCCTCCCATGTCGACATGGTGGCAAACAAGCTCTGTCTGCAAAGCTTCTGAAGCTCGAGCCCAACTTGAGCAGGGTTTTCCACCCGTTCTTTCCGGTTTAGGGTTTAGGGTTCCGAGGTCCTCCAAGAAATGCAAGCACTGTTGCTCAGCCAGCCACCTTCTGCCAAAAGGTCATCGGCCTTGAGCAGCACCACTGCACCTCATCACTACTGGATCGGAAGTGGCGCCCGTGGTGCGCTCTCCCGCTGTGCCAACCTCCCGAATAAGAAGAGCTAGAATAAGGTCCATCTGGTCACTTTTATAAATTCTGGACCCGTTTTTTTGGAGTCCTTATTCTAAGGCAGCTAAGACGTCGGGTATCCAAAGAGGGACATCACTTCGAGAGCTGACCATGTATCGGGGAGGATGGTTGACCCTCAGCCCTAAATCCTAAACTCATGGGGGGAAGTACTGAACCCCAAAGCCGAACGAGTGGGGCCCCCCACCATAGTCGAAAAGAAGTTGCCATCGGAGTAGTTCGCGTGGTCAAAGCCCCAAAGCCTCAAAGGGGGTTCTGAAATGTCGGGGTTCAAAGTTACATCTCTTCAGCTAGAGGATAGAACTGCCTGGTGCCACCACAAATGAGCATACTGGACTGCACACAACCGATTGATGCCACGTCTTGATCAGCTCAAGACCACTGCTTAGTGGCCCCACATGTTTGCAAGCTGCTGCGTGCTGAACTCGCCCAGACGCCTGCAAAGCACGCGAGAAAGCCCCGGTGTGAACATAATTGACTATATTTACAACAACTAACTATAATTAACTGACTAGAACTAACTGTAGCTAACTATAAATAACTACAATGAACCAACAAAGTTGAGGTTTAACTATAGTTACCTGACTACAACTAACTGTAACTAACTATAAATAACTACAATGAACCCCACAAACCCTAAACCCTAAACCCTTTTTACAGCAGGCCTAAACCCTAAACCCTAAACCCTAAACCCTAAACCCTACACCCTACACCCTAAACCCGAAACAACAAAGTTGAAGTTGTACATTTTGCTGCGCCTCAGAGCTGCGGCCGCAATCGCCTTCAGCAGCTCTGAATCTGGGCGGGCGTGCTCCAGCCACGCAAAGGACCTCAAAGAAGTCTGGGTTTAGGGTTTAGGGTTTAGGGTTTAGCTTAGGGTTTAGGGTTTGGGGTTTGGGGTTTGGGGTTTGGGGTTTAGGGTTTAGGGTTTAGGGTTTAGGGTTTAGGGTTTAGGGTTTTTTCCCACCCGTGTCGCAAGCGTTTACGGGGAAAAGGTCAGGTTTAGGGTTTAGGGTTTAGGGTCGTAGCCTAAACCCCTAACCTCCCTCCCCCCCTTTTGACTATTCGGGGAGCCCAGAGACTGGTCCAGAGCGCACTTTTCGGCTCTGCTCGTGCATAAAGACTTCCCGAATCAGTGGTCGAGGGCCAAAGACACGGAGCGAAGCCGACGAGAATCGATTGTACCTTCTGCAGGCGGGGTGGAGCTGTTTTCTGCATGGTCCTATGCCTAACGCCCTGTGCAATGCTGCAGCACCCCCGCGCTGCACTGTGAAGACACACTAAGTCGGCTCGGAACCGGAGGTACTAGGGCTGTTCTTGGCTTCCACACCACAACACACGAAATCGCAGCCTTGACCAGGAGGGCATGGTCTCCCTGCGTTGCCACCAGGCACCCGAATCGGCTGGCAGCTGCTTCTCTGCATCTTTGGCATAGTCTGCTGCCAGCTCGAAGAGGTCATTGCCTGACATGGGACCAGGAAGCGAAAAGTAAACCTGAGGAGAGCCAAGCACTAATTGCACAGCAAAATGATGTCTGTACATATATATATATACTACTAACCATATTCAGAACATTAAATAATCAAAATCATACAGCAAACACGTGGGAAGTCTTGGTGACAGCAAAGTGTCAGCCCTCTGCATCCTTGCATTGTGGAAACGTCACCAGGAGGTCGCCCTCCACGAAGGCATCGCAATCCATCGTCAAGGCGTTCAGGGCATCGTACGCATTCAGCTCAGACTGTGGCACGACCGCAGAGTGTCGGTCAATAGGGTCCTCTTCCCCACCACCGGCGGCTTGAACGGCTTCCAAGGACTGTCCTTGCCAACATTCAGAATATTAATAATATTAATAATGTTAAAATATTTAAAAAAAAACATTAATCATATTAACAAGATTAATAATACTAACAATATGAATAAATTAGTAATAGTAATAATAGTACTCATATTAATATTAATAATATTAATGATATTTACATTATTAAAAATATTAACAATATAAACAGTATTTATCATATTACTAATATTGATAATATTAATCATACTAATAATTTTAATAATTTTACTAATATTGGTAATCTTGGTGCGTTTGTTTTGCCACCCACATAACCACAGCACTGTGGGGCCCACACTGGGACTGGGGTGCATTTTTGCCACACACACACACACACCGAGCAGACCACCCGCACCGCAGAGTCATAATTTGGGGGACTATAGAACTATGCTGCTGTGCTTGACACAGGTTAGGGTCTTTGTGGCCACCCGCCAAGCGAGCCACACTGTTTAGATTATTTCTTGGCCCCCGCCAAGCAGACCAGTGACCAGCCGCACTGCAGGGCAACAAACTTCGGAATGGGTTTTGCGCTTAGGGTTCACTGATACTATAGTGATACTAGTGTTTTCACCAGGCCGCTGTTCATGAGATGAAGAATCATCGCATCCTGATCCCCGAAGAGCTGCATCTCCACGTGCGCGGCAGTCAGCGCATCATGAAGAAATCTCATTGACCAGGCACTGTGCCGGATGATCCAGTTCGCGGAACTGAGGCCCCATCCTTCTTCTGTGATGAGGAGGTCCACCTGTGAGGAGAATTTTTAAGGATTTTAGGGCTTAGGGTTTAAGGTACGGAAGGGCCAAGTGAAGCACTGGATGTTCTTTGACCAAGCTTTCGGGCCGCATGCTTAAAACCAGACGTATTTGATCCATGTTCCCGGAAACCCACAGTAGCCTGGACACAGGAAACCTTTCAAGATGCCTTTTGCTGCTAAGAGGCGAAACTAAAGAATCCGACTCCACCACAGAAATTCTACGTCGGCGCATGATATGTCGACGAAAGGGTCTACAGCACTAGCTCCTAGCAGAAGATCCATCACCGAAAAGCTTCATCACCGAATGCGAGTCCACCCCCCACGACACTCGCATGTAGTCCACCTCTTACCGTATTCTTCCCTCCGTTCCCGAGACTCATATGCTCAAACCCGTAGCTGAGGCAGCGTTTGCTTTCACTATGCCCACGTGGCACCATTCGAAGGTCATTAAGTGTCTTGTAAAAACCTGCAGACATTCGTCATCTGCAAAGCTTGAAGAAGTGAAGCACAAGCAGAGCTATCGCCTCTGAAACCATAACAACCTCCAGAACAAGCCGACCTTTACCACGCAAAACTGTACAGCAAGTACTTGAAGCCATCGTGATATATGTAGTGTGTACATATATATTATGTATATATACATATATACATATATAGAGTATGTGTATATAATATATATAGTGTGTGTAGTATCTTTATATAGTATACATTGTATGTGTAAATAAAGGTGTATATATATAGTACATATAGTATATCAGTATATCATTGCATTTTCTGGCCTCCGGGTCAAGCAAGCTGGCGTTGCAGCCCGGCCCGGGTTGTCGGCAGGGCTCTCGGCAAGGCACCATTCTGTCCTCCACTTTGTGCAGCCAAACGGCCCCATTGTCCCATCTAAGGCTCTCTGCTATTCGGGAACCTCCCTTGGCCTCCTTCCAGACGATGCTGGCCTGCAATGCCCCGCTTGGGAAGTCCATCTCCAAGCGGCCATCCACAAGCCTGCCCGGCGCATGGCCGATCTGCTGCGCATCTGCCTCCACTCCGTCCGCATCACCATCTCGCGAGATGTGTATGATTCCCTCCTCTCGATACTCATCACTGATCCAGGAGTCCAGCCACTCCCCAGTCAGCAGGTCCAGGTCGTCGCTGAGCTGCTCACCACATACAGGCGCGGCCTCCGAGTCCATAAGCCCTCGCTGCTTCTGCTGGGCATACTGATAGATTACCGAATCCAAGGTGCGGTTCATATTCATGATGATGGAGTCGCAGTCAAGCCACGCGACCCAGTCGTATTCGTTTGACTGAAGGTAAGCAAGCACTGTCGCCAGCTTGGCATGCTGCACTCCCAAGCCATGCGCCCCAATAACGGGGTGCTCTAAGTGAAGGCGAAGGGAGTAGCCGTGGTGCTCAGCATACGCTTCGCGATTGCTTGGCGTGAGTCTGGGCAAGGCGAGCGGATGATCTTCAGGGTAAGCGCAGATCGAGACCACCGCGATGCGTAACTTAGGATCCCGAAAAGCGGGTGCTATGGGAACAAGGTGTCGCAGCTCTCGCCTTAACCTTTGGTCGTGGCCACGACGCATTTGCATAATTGCAGGGATGATGTGGTGCTCAGTGACACCCCACGCTTTGGCTGGCACCTCGGGTATGCGATTGGCATTTCGGAGTGTGAAGATGAAGACGAGGGCCAACTGCAAGAGTCGATATGCCAAGCCAGTCAAACCTTCAGGTGCCCCCCCTGCATAGCCCAGTGTGTCCACGGCTGTGGGGGAGACGAGCCGTGCGAGAATGTAATAACCAGCCACCACGCCAACGTTGCAGGAGAGTACTTCGGTCACGTTGGCTGTGCGGGCCAGGAGCTGCTTTGCCAAGCCAACCATGGCCAGAGTTCTCTCGCCAGAGGCCTCCATGGCCGTGGCCCTTGCAGCCATGTCAAAGGCAGCATGATACTCTTTCCATTCGCGGGTGTCCACGGCACAGGCCAAGTCATCATCACTCACAGCTGCTGCCGCCGGCAGAATTAGGAGTCCATACAGACACCATGGAGTCATGCTGAACGTAACCGTGCGGCGCCACAGGACTGGCAGTTGTCAGTACATCACATGAGATAAATTGGGGCTTTAAAAGTATCTACAACATCGTCGATTCAGACAACTCAGATCAGGCCGATACAGATTCGATCGAAGGTAGTGGCCAACTTGCTTACTTTCTCTGCTCATCCACCCAACGGATTGAGCCTGATCATGTGTGGCGTGGCCATACACTGGCAAGCCCACGAGGGACGATGGTGTTTAAAATGTGGCCATACTGAGGAATGGGCCAGCAGCATAGAGCTAAGTCCAACGGCACCTTGGCGATGCGGAGCATCGTGGCGAAACCAAGGTCTAGTCGAGTTCTGTCTTCATCCTGCCTCGTGCACAGGAGTACTTCTGACTCCTTCTGACACCAAATGAGTTCTACTTCTTCTCAGCCTCTGCTGCCCGTCCACTGGGGCCATGGCAAAGTCCGGGGCATCTTCTAGGAGCAGACGCAAAGCCCTTGCCTGCAAAGCAGTGCCATGTGTCTATGGATCTGTCTGGTACAGGCACCGGCAAATGGGCGCTATTAGGGTAGCTCTGCAAGATGCCAGTCCTCGAGCGCACTGAAAAGCACGTCGGCGCGACGTCCCAGCCTCACAGACACCGTGCTACGTAGCCCCGGAGCGCAGATATGTCGGCAAGGGATCCCACGTAGCATAAGCCCAGGCAGTGTTGGCCACCTCGAAACCATGCATGCATCATCACACGGCGAACTTCTGTAGCCTATAAGTAGCCTAAGGGCCCTATAACAAGCCGAAACAACAAGGCAAGCACATGCTGTGGGGAGAAGCGGTCCATCTTCCGCAAGGCCTGCCAGAGCAGGCGAAATATCAAGAGAACCGTGGCGAAACCCCCAAACAGTTGGAGCCCTCATCTCTTCTCTCCCTCGAAACCTGTGACCTGAAGAGTTGCGCAAAAACTGGCCGTAACTCATCCGCAACATCTGCCCCGCAGGCCCTTTGTCGCAATGCCTCCCCAGCGATGTGATGCATCAACCTTCGGACATCTCGGACGAACAGCGACGTAAATCAGAACCTCTAACAGCCAATCTCTCACAAATCCGGCTCTACTGCAGGATGCGAGCCCGTTGGATATCTGACTGAGAAATGTTGAACGGCTTTTCTCAACCCAGTGTGCATTTGCAGCAAGGATCTCGTACAACTACCAATAGCTTCCCAACGCATGGCAAATTGTAAGCAACCCCTCTACTGGGGGAAGGGGCTTCGTCCATCCCAAGTCGCAAAAATCAAGAACAGCCGAGGCTGCGGCACGTCGTCCTTGAAGCGCATGGTTGCCTGTGTGTGGGCTCACAAGGCACCCGAGGCGAAAACTGAGCTGCAAGGGTTCTGCTACTCAGCGGCTACTGTTAGAAGTAACGAAAACCATATTGTACACAACTATGTCTGAACTTGCCTCGGGGCACGAGGCCTTCCACTGCATGCACGATGGCAGGTTATTCCTGCATGCTGATTTGTTCTGAGGCCGTGAGAAAACAGATGTAGTCCTACTTTTGGAGGTGCAACGGTAGCGAAAAAGCTGCCCTCTGCATAACAACTCTCTGAGCCTGTTGTTTGAGGGTTTGAAAGAGGGTGTAGAAAGGAACAGGAACGAGCAGCGAATGTAACAGTAACAAAGCAACAGGAACCGCCCCGGAAGCAACAGCTGCTGCTGGAAATTGCAACCGGAACTTTAGCGACGCGCCACAGAAACCGGCTTAGGACGTAACAGGAGCCGTGCCGCACTCGTGGCGAAAAGCAGGAAGCGCAATCAGATGGCACGACTCGAGAGGTAAGGCAACAAACAAGCAAAAAACACCTGATTGGACGTCTATTCCGAACAACGACTGCAACATACTGCAGGCGCGTATTTAAGCAGGAAAAATGGGGGAGCATGATCAATTCGACCTCAAAACCAAGCCCACGGCGTGGACCCTTCATGATCCCCATGTGAGTGGGAGCCACGAGTTCCGGTTACAAAACTTCCGTGGTTGCTGTTGCAGGATGTTCCCCCATGTACTACAAGTTACTAAAAGTCCTTTATCGGGAAGATAGTACCCCCTACAAAAATCCCCAGCAGAGACACAGCACAGACGCAGACAGACAGACACAAGACAGACAGACGTGCGAACTGCGCACGGGGTGACCGCGCCTCGGCCCAGGAGAGGTTGGCCAGGCTTTGGGCTTCGAACTCCTGCCAGCGGGTTTAGGGTTTAGGGTTTAATCGCTCACACTCAGACAAGCCAGGCGAGGCACACACTGTTCAAGAGTCCTGATGTAGGGTTTAGGGTTTAGGGTTTACATCCCCAGATTACGCAGAAGCCGATGGCCTAAGATCCTTACGACTGAAAACACAAGAGGTGTAGTTATGGGTAGTTGTCCGGGTAGTTTCCTAAATTATTCCCGTTTTGGGTACCCATATAGTCATAACTCACTGAGTGTGCCGCGCCTGCGGGTTACGACTACTGCCGTTTCGCAACCCCTTCTTGGCTTCTTGGCTAATGCGCCACCCCAGATTTCGAACCCTTGAAGTTGCTGCCCCTAAACCCTAAACCCCAAACCCTAAACCGCAAACCCCAAACCCATATTGTGTTTCACTTAAAGGGCTGCGCGGTCTGCTGCAGCGTGCTGAGCAACAACGCACAGAGATGGCTGGCTCACTGCTGCTGTGCAGCTTGCAGCACTTCGAGAAATTGGGAGTGAAACATCTTTCAAATTGCTCATGCCCCTCCCGGTCGATTCACAACCTGAGCTGGTGAACTTGAGAGCGGATGCCTGCAGCAAGCTATTTGTTAGGCAAGGAACTGAGAGTTGCGGGAGTGAAGGCCGCTAACCAAGGCGCCACGGCTCCTGCACACACAAACCCTAAGCCCTAAAACCCTAAACCCGCTAGGCCATGGAGAATCCCAGGCATGCCCCGGGCGCCTGAAACTGGCGGTTCCAAATTGCACCACCTTTTGGAACCCCTTCCCAGGTAGGGAGGAGGTCGTCTTCTTCATCGATCTCCTTGGCATGACTGAACAACCCTTCAGCTTGCGAGGCGCGGTTGAAAACCCCTGCTTTTAGCAGATTGTCACACCCTGCCCCCTTTAAGAAGCCTCAAGAGAGCTGATGCTCCTCTTCACTCTCCTCCTCCTCTGGTTGTTCGTTGCCTTCCTCCTCTGGCGCGTTGTCATCCATCTCGCGCTGGAAAGCCGAGTTCTCCAGAAGTGGTGGGAAGCCAGGAATCCAGCAACTGGTCAAGGCCGAATAGTTCACGTAGAGGCCTCTCAGGCAAGCAGGTTTTCAATTGGGGTCTCGACTCTCCTGCTCGGGTATTCCACGCGGGGTTTCAAGACCATACAATGTCATACAAGCTCAGGTTCGGCGGCTCCTGGGAACTCGTCATAGAGCTCCTTCTCCTCCTCCATGGTCACGTGCAGGAGCGATGCCCACAGCACGAAACCAACCATGACCAGCATCGCTGGGTTACACAGCGCCAACTGCGTACCTCAGGGCCGAATAAAACCCTCGCTCTCCTGGGGCTTATCAGCCACAGCACGGTGAAGGGCACATTTCAACACACAGCTTCGAACACACGACACACAAGAATTGTGGAAAGGCAGGGGAAGCACACATCCAGCAGAATCGAGTGCGTGAACAGTGTAATACAACCTCACCAAAGCAGCATGAGCCAGAGCATGTGAGTGTGACACTTCCCGTATTTTGCCCAACCGCACTGCAAACGCCGAAGCGTTTCTTCATCTCTGTGAAAGTCATGGGGTTCGGCATTCGAAGCTCCCCCAGGCTGCTTGGCCTTCGGCCCTTCGCTCTCCATCTCTTGCAACCAACCGGCAATTCTGTCGCGCAGCGCGCTCTTGTGAGACTCCATGGCATTCTCGATACGCAGCTGCTGCAATCCAGCCCGCCACCAACCAAAGCTTCTCAGCAGCAACTGGCGGGCATGCTGTTGCACAGCGCCTGCAGTCTTCTGCAGGATCGACTCTCCTGAACATTGTGCCCAGTATCTGAGGCAGGCACAGAGGCGCCACCGCTGAGAAGCCTCCACAGCTGTCCAATATTGCCGAAGCCTCGTCATCTGAAGCTTTCTCAGCCAGGCCACGAGAATGCGAAATGCAGATCGTCGTGCCAACCATGAGATGGCCAAATGGGCTCGGGCCAGTCGCGCAGCTGACTTGGCTGCGATGCCATGAAGCCGACAGCTCTGCCAACTCGCGAGGCACCTCTTCAGAAGTGCCGTTCGCCTTCGGTTCAAAGCAAGCAGGTCCCAAAAGGAAGCATGGCTGACAGCCTGCCGTAAAGCAGACCAAACACGAATGTATTGATGGAGCCTGTAGAGTTCGACGGCCTGCCGATCACGATCTCTTCTGATGGCAGCTGCGACAAGGCGCTGTGCACGCAGGCGTCTCTGCGCCTGGACCTGCTCCTTGCGCAAACGCAAGCGCTCCTGCTTTGCTTCCTCCTCGGCTGCACGCTGCTGTTCTTCCTCCTCAGCTTGTTTCTGTTGCCGTTCCTCTTCCTTCTGTTTCTGGCGCTGCCTTCGCTCCTCGTGAACACGGCGCCTCTCGTCTGCCCTCTTCTCCATCTCACGCAGTGCCTTTGGCCTTGCCAGGGATGGCAAAGCGGGTTCCGGGTTGACAGACCCACAAGGGCGCTCCTGTTTTGCTTCCTCCTCGGCCACTCGCTGCTGTTCTTCCTCCTCAGCTTGTTTCTGTTGCCGTTCCTCTTCCTTCTGTTTCTTTCGCTGCATTCGCTCCTCATGAACACGGCGCCTCTCGTCTGCCCTCTTCTCCATCTCACGTAGAGCCTTTGGCCTTGCCAGGGATGGCAATGCGGCCGTTGTGGCCTTTGGCCCGACAGGAAGGCTTGCACCTCCCGCGTCCTCGAGACAGGATCCATCTTTCAAGGCTTCGCCTGGTTGTTCAGTTGGGGTTGGGGGGTCCGGGTTGACATACCCACCTGACCCACCTGTCCCCTCTGGGAGGGCCGCCATGAAAGCAGTGGCCTTTGCAGATACGGCTTGCTTTGATCTGTCCATGCAGGCATGATGAACTTCCAGCCTCCACGCAAGCCAGCTTCGGCAAACCAAGTTGTTTGCCCAGTGAGCCTCTGCCAGAGAAGCCTGTTTTCGTGCTTGCTGGATCTCCTCCACGCACTTTGCCGCCTGGCGATCTGCAACTGCAGACGCAACAGCGTCGCGCCAAGCAAGCGTGCAGGTGAATAAAACACTGACGCTGTGGGACTTGAAGGCAATCCTGCTTTTTCTCTTTAACACCTTGTTGGCAGCACATAGGTGATGCAGTGCCCAGAGAGAATGCGCACGTAAGGTTTTGCGGGATAAGACGTCCAGCACATGGATGAAACTCGTCCTGGCTTTGTTGTGCTGGGCCGATTGAACTGAGAGCTTCTGCTGCTGGACCTCTTCCAGCTGCAGCTCGAGGCGCTTGACCTCACAAACCTTGCGAGCTCGGGCTTGTTCGGCCTCATGCAGTTCGCGCACTTCCTTGACCTGTCGCTCTACCTCCTCCTTGGCCTTGGCCACTTCTGCATCCAGATCGGTTTGTGATTCCAGGCCCTGGCAAGGAGCGACCTCCGGCTGAGACCCTCGGCTCTTCCGTCCCGACCGGCACATCCGTTTCTCCGTCCTGTCCGTCTGCGCCCGTTTCTCTGGCCGTTTCTCTGGGGGTTTCTCTGCTGGCCGTTTCTCTGGCGGCCGTTTCTTCTCTGGCGGCCGTTTCTCCGTGCCGCTTCCGGGTGCCCTCTCAGCTCCTCCGGTGACTCTGGTGCGGCTCGCAGCGCCTCGCCGCTCCTCCAGCGCGCGATGCCGCGCCTCCATGCGCAGGAAAGGATCTCGTTCTGGAGGCAAGGGCTTGCTACTGGGCCGGGTCAGCGCCTTCGCACTGGCCCGCGCCTGCTCCTCTGCCTTCTCCATCCTCCGGTCCGCGAGGCAGCGAAGCGCAATGTCTACGTCGGCTGCCAAAGCTGCGTCAGCGTGGGTCTGGACTTCCTTCAGCTTTCCTAGGATGGCACTTAAAACCTTCCTGAACATGATCCTCGTATACCCAATATCAAGGGAAAGTAAACAATGTCCCCAAGGGCCTACCGAGTTTCCCTCCACCTTCCTGTACAGGTCTGTCGACATTCGGCGTGAAGAGCTCTTCAGTGCGGGCACGGCCACAGAATCGCAGCTAGGAAGGATGTGGGCTTCCGACTTCACTCTGCGGTGCAGGAGGTCAGCCGATTCCTCCTCGTGGCGAAGCCACGAGCTCAGAAGTTTTCTTGCTTCGGCTTGGATGTCTGCATCCCTCTGGACACCGCCACCACTTCGCAGCTCATCCGGCTCATCGCCACGGCCAAGAAGCATGCCAAAGACCTCCTCCGCCACGCCGAGTGGAATGCAGGGTCAGGGTCAGGTGCACCATGCACAGTACAATCCTCTGGGTCCACGCTGCTGATTGAATTTGGGTACATCCGGGACTGGTATGGACTGGCTGTGGCGTGGACCCTTCAGATAAAGCGCAAGTCTTTCGAATTATGCAGTCCGCGGTGATGTTCGCTTAGCATGAAGCTGGTAATCATCCGGTGCACAGCTACATGTCCTAGAGAACAATTTAGCAATGACGCAAGTCTGCAACCATTCCTAACGATTGCATCATGCAGCACCTGATTGTTGAACTGTTGATCCATGAAGCGGCTGGAAATGGCATTCGCGCCGGGTCAATCTCGCCACATGCTAAATGATTGTGTTTCAGGACGCTGTGCATCATTCTTGTTTCGTATCCGGTGTGCAAAGTCATCTTAAGGCCGCATATTCAACGTGTCTAATCTTACATTCAAAGCCGAAGTTCTTAGATTCAACATTCTCCTCAGACAAGAATATCATTGACGCAACAGAATCTTCCCAACCAGCTTGGGCTGGACATGTGTATCTGTGGCCAGTCCATGTCCATGCTTCTCTCCCTATTTCCCGAGTCCAATTCTTCTGGGCTCTGATTGTCTTCCTCTACACATACATCCAGCAGGTGTGTTTTTGGACCTTTCCCAGCCTAGGCCCCACAGCAAAGCTCCGAGGTATGCAGGGTGCCGCTCCCATGCGTAGGGGCCCTCGCGGACCACCCGACGATTTGGGATCTCCAAGCCTCATGTCAGTGTTCCAAAGGAGGGTGTTTCTTGTTGACTCATTTTTGGGGTTTA